AATAATATAACATAAAAAAGAAAGTATTTTTTTTCTTTCTTCTCAATGTTTAAAGTTTTCAATGTATCGAATTTCTATGTATTTCAAGATTTTATTTTTTAAAACACTTTTACGTATTCAACTAAATGTATACTATATTACAATTTTTTTACATAAGTTTATGAATATTGTTTTGACAACAATATCTATTACTCATTCCTTATTTGTGTTGATTTTTTTTTTTATAAAAATCCCTAAAAAAATTTCGGGGCGCTGCCCCTGAACCCCCGCCATATTATTATTAACTCTCTAAATTTTTCGGCCCCCTACCAAAAAATCCTGATTCCACCCATGATGGGTCCTGTTCATGCAATTTGGTTGTACTTGATATTATTATATACATATAAATATAAATATTTATTTTTCAAATTGCCACTTTTATTCATAAATTAATACCAAATATTAATTAAGACGGCAGGCAGCTCAGGGCAATTCTGTAGTAATTCTCACAAATAACGAGAGTAATAAATAAATAATTAATTAATTATTGGAAAGTTTAAATAATAGTTATTAGAATACTAGTATTCACCCGTGCGATGCACGGGGCGACATATTTTTGAATGAAAATACATGTCTCAAAAATAAATTTAAGCAGATAACAATTATTACGGTCACTGAATCTAAGTACATAACGTAATCGACCAACGATAATAAAAATATGTTATAAGTGTCATGTTCTTCATAGTTATAATATAAGAATACTATTAAATATTAGTATATCGTCAAAAATAAATCGTAAAGATAATAAGAATTGCACCGAGCACCATAGGGAAATGACTGAAAATAACATCGCACCGGGGAAAATATATAGATAAGAAACACCTGCAAAAGAATAAGTTCTTTAAAAATAAAATAAAAAACATGTTACATGAATAAATGATAAATATGAAAATATTTTCTACCTTCAAATTCGATGAAATACTTCCTTGTACACGACATTTCTAGTAACATTGGTGAGTTCACCCGAATCCGACTTGATGAATATCTTAATGCCACCTCTGCTCTTAACTCTGGACACTGCAACATATAGTTGACCATGGCTGAAGACAGGCCTAGGAAGATACAAACCAACATGCGAAAGAGTTTGGCCTTGGCTTTTATTTATCGTCATTGCAAAAGAAACAATCAACGGAAATTATCTTCTCTGAAATTTAATTGGCAGTCCGGAGTTAGATGGTATTAAAGTCATCCGAGGAATGAACATCATGTCACCGATATTTTTTCCGGAAAGAATTTTGCAACTCAGAACGTGAATTCCAGTTCTAATAATTTGAAGTCTGGTACCGTTGCACAATCCTCTAGCTTGATCGATGTTTCTTATTAGCATAACGGGTGCACCAACCTTGATCCTCAACGCATGAGAAGGAACTCCGGAGCATCTTATTGTGTTGAGGAATTCAGTCGAATAAATTTCTGCATTATCCTCCGTTGTGTGCTCGTCCCTACACATACTATCTGAGCTCAGGTACACCTTCTCCTCTTCTGGAAGGAGAGACATTAAGTGATCGTTCACAGACTCGACGCATTCATTAGTTGGTGCAAGAATTGCCCTCCCTTGAAAATAATCTCGATCGTACATGTTACTCAACAAATCCGGGTAAACGAATTCGAGTAGGTCTCTGAATGGATCTTATGAATCACCAATCAACATGTCATCTGGAATCTCTATCGAAGCTTCACCATCATTGTCTTCCCCAACATCCTCATTACCAACATTCAGTATCCAGTCTCCAAATTCTTTTATCTCATCCACATTAGATGGAGAAGAACATGACTGCAATTTCATGTTCTTAGTCAACTTCATGACACGACAGAAATTCCACAGCGGAGAGGAGTTTATCGTAGCATGTACTATGTTCTGCCTTGATGCTTTGAGCACAACTGGTAAAATCTGCCTAAAATCACCTCCAAGAACAACCACATTACCACCAAAGGGTTTGTCAGCCTGTAATATTGACTTCCTTGTCTTGTCAAGGGCTTCAAAACAGTATCTATGCATCATAGGAGCCTCGTCCCATATAATAAGCTTTGTCCTTATGAGCAACTCTGCCTGTGGACTTTGTTGCGATATGCTGCAGGTGGAACTCTCATGTACATTTATGGGTAGTCCGAATGGATAATGAGCTGTTCTTCCACCGGGGAGCAATAACGATGCTATACCACTCGATGCAACGTTAATTACAATCTCTCCATTCGAACGAACTGCAGCCGGAAGAGTTTTCCATAGAAACGTCTTTCCCGTTCCACCATGGCCATATAGAAAGAACATTCCACCACTGTTATTGGTTACTGCATCCATGAATACATCATAAACCTTTCTTTGCTCATCTGTAATGGAAGCAAGACACTGTTGAAGTTCTCTACCCATTTCAAACCGGTCGTAATCCAGTTCATCTAACACCAATATGTTTTATGTGTCCTCATATGAGTATTCGATTGGAACTGGCATAGGCGCGTAATTTTGCAGGCTTTTACCATTGCTTTGCAATATTTTTTCTATTTCGGTGAGAGTATAGTTCTTCAAGCTTTCATCCGATATATGTAAATCTTCAACAATAAAAAAATGGATAAATTATGTGCATCTAGTTGAAATTGTACAGAGACAATATTAAAAGAATGATTAATACGTAAAATCTAATTGAATACAATGCCATACAAATTGCCATACCTGGATTTTTATGAAGACGTTGTTGTTTGTAAGCAATACCATCAGCCAAATCCAACCAACAACTTTGCCAAACATGTTCGGGCCGACTTAAGCTATTGGAAAGCAGCATAACCGCAAATAGCCTTCTTATATAAGCATCTATGTATTCTTTGTCGTCATCTAGCAAACCCAACACATAACATGCATCCCTGAACGTAGGGTAGACGATGTCAAAAACTTTTCTGATGTCCTCGTAGCACGTGCATCCCTTTTGAATGTTAAGTAACAACCTAAGGTAATAGTCTTCCCCCTTTCCAGGGGGAACATTCGCAATCCTACCGATAGAAAATCCTTTTTTCCTTGGCACCCAAGTTCGAGAATCCTCTTTATACACAAATTGTTGTGGAAAATCTCCGTACCTCAAGTCCCTTGCATGTGGATAGTTCTTGTTGGCCTCAAACCACGCCAGGAACATAGTTTGCTTGGCAGATGGCCTATCCAACACACTTTGTAACGACTGGTTTTCATTGAAGACAATTGGCTGATGATCGGGGAGATGAAAGCTTAGCTTAATTACGGATGGGTCTCTGTAATGAATATCAAAGTTAAACAACCTCCACATTGCCTCACACGCCGAAAGATATCTGCAGTCGTAGTACATCTTTATCTCATCACGAATCTCAGCACCGCCATCTGTATTGCGTGTCTCATAAAATGCCGTTGTGACTCGTTCATGCCCCTTGTTTACGTATTTGAACAGGTATTTAATTGACTTGTTTTGGTTGCATAGCTCGATATTAATGTGAGCTCGGTATTTACTCAACAATATACGATTGTAGGGGACCACAAACCCATTATCAAGAGTAGTCTTCTTCTTCGTAACTGTTCTGCCATCTTCCCTTTTCCTATACACTGTAAACCCATCTGCATCTGATTCAGTGCGCTGCACAAACGGCTTTGGAAATCGCTTCGTGCAAACTCTATCTTTCATACATGGAGATTTCAAATTCGCCTGACCGCACGGTCCATGTATCATATACTTCTCCACCAACTGGTACATCTTTCTGTCGTTTTCTTCGTCAGGAATTTCAGCACATATGATCCTGTCAATTTCTTCTGGATTCTTGGGCTTGTCGTCATTATGTAACCACAATAAAATATGTGCATGCGGTAGACCTCGTTTCTGAAATTCTATTGTGCATACATCTGCATAAAAAATGTAAACATACGGTATTAAAAAATAATTTGAAGAATGTGGCTTGATTATTGAAAATAACATTGGGTTAGGTAGATTATATAGTTTGGAATATACGCATAATTTGGAAATTAGATTAAAAATTAAAAATTCAAATTTTAAAATGAGCTTTAATCTAGGAATAAATGATATATAGTGATATTTTAAAAATATAATTGATTTAAGTTAACATTGCATAAATTAATACTCTTTCTATAATCAAAATATTTCAAAATATATGAGTATTTAAAATAAAGTTAGAAAACACACACACTATATTCATATCAATATTTAATTATTACAGTCCACGGATTTCATAATTAATGTCAAAGTTAATAGAAAAAAGACTAAAAATCTTATATAGATGATTAATATATTGGCCTTAAATAATGTATATTTTATTGAAAATATCGGATCCTATTACCATAAACACAACGCGAGATTAAAAAACATAAATATTAATAGGTTTTAGTAGAATGTAAAATATTTAATTTCCATATTGAAAGAGGCATTTACGTGTGAATAAGTTGGTTACTAAACATGTTATAATAATTTATTATTGTTAATTTAATACATGTAATTATAAAAAGTATTTTAACCGGTATTAATTTATCAATTTTATTTGAAAATATATTAACACATGGGTGATTAATCTGATTCATACGTAAATGTTTCATAAAATATATTACGTAGATCGTAGAATATAATATAAATTATTATATTTATAAATACAAATATTTACGTAAAAATAACAATGTTATCTATATGGGTACTCTCTTTCGTATGTCAATGTATAATCTTTGTAACGCAATTAATGTTCAAATATATAAACAATTTTATTAATATGCATAATTCATTTTGGCATAAATGAATAAATACGTTTGCCGCATTAAAAAACATAAGTAACTTTATTGAAATAAGCTTCATGCAAAAGTATTAAGGACATTGTCTCAAAATAGAAAAACATATTGTGTCTCTAAATACGAAATACCAAAGAAAATCGAAATGAATAACAAAAAATGACGAATAAATTTAAATAATACATTACTCCATTTTCTCTTGTTTGATCTTTTTCAATAATTTGGTGGATGATTGCTGGACGGTAGGATCATTGAGAATACTATCCAAAATACAATCGTTGGATCGCTTCATTGGAGTAATAGCGTTGACATCATCATCCACAATAGCATTAGTTGTGATATCACCATCCACAACGCCATCGTTAAAATTAGAACACGTTCCAGAGTCCTATAAATTAGCAAAGAATTACGTAAAATATTTGTGTATTTGTGAAACATCTCTTACGTGCAGTGCAACATATGAACAATTAATCAAAAATAAATTGTCAACCTTTGATGAGAAGATACACCCATCGTTGTCATAATTGACACTCAGCGACGATGAACCATTATCATGTTTCTGCAATATTATAAGATACATACACATTCAAAACCACGTATTAAAATTAAAAGAAAGAATTATATTAAAGTTAATTATCAATACCGCATCCATTTCGTAATGCTTAAAAAATGAAGCAATGATAGCATCATCTGTGCAAACTTTTTGGACATTGTACGTTTTATGATCTTCATTGGCAACATTATCACCCTTGATAGCAATTTTGAATAACATTCTTCGATCAATTAACCCCTCAAGTTCCATAGGATACTCCACAAGTTCTTCTCCCTTCATAGCATTAAAAATAAATAAATGATAAAAATACAAAATTAATTGATTACTCTAAAAAAATATATATTTTAGATAAAAAAAAAAGGATGAGTGGTTGATCAATGTACCCTGTTTTGGACTGTTTGAATTAATACTTCTACAGGAATATCTAGCATCCTTTCAGCTTCTTTCCCAAATACAATCATCGAAGCTGAATTTGTATCGTCCATGACAATGACTTCAACTTTATAACTAAAGACAATAACAAAATGTGAATGAAAAGTATTTGTAGAATAGTAATATAATTAACCCAAATAAATAAATTAGAATAATAAATAATTAATTAATTATTGGAAAGTTTAAATAATAGTTATTAGAATATTTGATAGTCAAACATTGAAAAGACACTCTGTTTCTTAAATTGACTTAGCATGAGTAGGGATTAAGCTTCTTTCATTTTGTTCCCATATTAATTCAAGCTTTCATTACTAACTTGTAGAGAAAATAAACCGATTATCAAAATAATAATAATAATAATAATTATTATTATTATAATTATAATAATTGTGTTCACCTATATGCTCTATCCAAACGGTTAGCCCACCAACACAAAAAATCAACTTTGATTAAAGGCGGTCTTACCTTTTATACTTAACTTAAAAAATATTAAATTAAGATATAGCGACTATACAAATTCAAAAAAATAATAAATAACTTAAACAAATTGAAGTTGTAAACTAAATTATGTAACAAATAAAATTAAAATATAAATGAACATCGTTGACTAGCTAAAAACTAAATTTCGTAAATTATAATATAATAGAGGAATGCCAATAAATTAATATTGCGTCCAAAACTTAATTATTAGGAAAATAGATGCAACACAAGAACCAAGGCCGCCATGTTTCATGTAGTCCGTTCTTATATGTACATCAGTTCGTTTTTAGAGCGTTTTATAGATGCTACACCTGATGAAATATACTGAATGGTCATGGATTATCGATTTATACATAATAAAACACACACACATTATATGTGTGTATTTAGTGTACAGTTATTTGTATAAATCGATAGTGCATTATCACCAGTTATATTTCATCGGGTGTATCATCTCATAGATCGTTTACATTGCCATTTAGCAGATCCTCGAGCTTTATGAAACCACGAGCTAGGCTCATGCAAACTTGTTGCCCTACCTGAGGTTCTTTTTTGTTTTTCTATTTGTTAACACCTCTACTTTTAGGGTAACTTGAAATTTTCAATATAATAATATAGGAATTCAATCATTTTGAATTTATTTAATGGGGGGGAAATGATGAAAATATGACGATTGCAAGAGGTAATTTCAAAATCAAGATATTGATATTTAAAAAATGAAAAAAAGAAAAAAAAAATAGAAATCGAGATGCGTTCGAAGAACATTGTTGGGCTTCTGAGATTACTTTACAAGACTCGTTATCCAATCAAAAGGGCTACCCATTTTCGGCCTTTTATGGAATTCAAGTAAGCAACTTTGCTTCTATGTGGGCTGTGGCCCTATGTCTAAAACCCATATATTTGATGGATGTAATAACTATTAGAAAAAAAACAATTCTTTTTTAATTTGGAATTTGTAGTCACTAATGATCAGATAAACCAAGATTTCAGAAAAAAAAAAAAAAAAGATCTCGTCTTTGTAAGTAAACCGAAAAATCGTCAAATTATGCTACGCCGGTGAAATTTACCGGGTTGTTTTTCACATTTGAATACATATGTAAAATATAACCCGATAAAATTCATCGGGCGTAGCGTATATCACATATTTAATTTCATATACATTTTTGTTGATTTTGGCTTATATAGGATTTATGGATTAGGTTGAAATTCAACTTTGACCTCTATCCAGTTTGTAACAAATTAATTTGACCACTTGAGCCAGTAGATTTGAATTTGAACTCATTAACATATAACAAATAAATTATGTAGATATCTTTTTTTATCAAATAAAAAATCAAATTGAAATATAGATTTCTGATAATATATATGTATAGATGTAGGGACAAATACATTAAATAATCTGCACATGGACACCCATAATTTAAAAGAAGAAGAAAACAAGAAAAGAGCACGGGAATATATATATATATATATATATATATATATATATATGATCCGTCAGAAAACAGCTGGGCTGGATATTCCCACCTTTCCCGTTACCTGTAAAAGAGACAGCCGGACTGAGGCCGGAGTTAGCACTCCGACGATCAAGTCAGTAACGGTTTAATCACTGTTTTGCGTGAGGATTCGATATGTTTTAGTATATATGCAGGAATAATAAAAACGAATACCCTTTACCGGTGGGCATGTTCTCCTTTTATACATGCCCCTCGGTCCTTTGCTCACTGACCCGGGAATTCAGTGATGACTACTAGCGGCGGCCGTCTTTCTATCCGGGCCGTCCGGATGGCCGGAGCCATGATGACCTCTCCAATAGGTCTGACTGGGATGTCTGGGCATCAACTGCTCGGCCGCACCTGGTCATTTCGTCATTTAATGCAGTTGTCAGGACATTAAATGTGCCGCTCCATCATTTATAGCACCCCCCCCGACCTGTAAGATCCTCCCGAGGGGTCGAGTCATCCATCCGTCGCCCTTTATGCGGATGGGCCAGACAAGTCTTTTGGGCCACTCATAACCCTGGGCTTGATGCTCCGGTGGGCCGCGCGAACTGGGCCCATCTATTTTTAGTGGCCTTTTGTCTTGGGCCTTATTGAGTAATTCCGGTCCGGATCAACTAGTCCCCCACTTCGGGTTCCATACCTCAGTTTGGGATCCGGAGTTGGCTCGGTTCTCTTTCTTCTGATCCGGGTGACGTTCGACCAGTCGAGTCCCTTGAGTCAGCCGTTTAGTCTTCCGTGCTTTTTGCACATATCTCTAGGCTTCCGCCGCCCACGCGGGGCTCTTCGTTTTCTGTGCCCCTTTATTACCGACGTCGCTTCGACTTGCACAGTGGTTGGCTTTTTGAATAACATCCCTCCCTATCGATTCCTCATTATTACACACCCCCTTTATTTTCTTCTTTACATCTTCCCTTTGTTTAACGTGTGACTCTACCAGGTACTTTCTTACTTCCCATCTCCCTTTTGCTTCTTTTTTTTTTTATTTGCGATTGCCCTCCCTTTGCTTCTCCGGCCATGGCCTCCCAGAATACCTCCTCCTCCTCCTCTTCAGAGAGAACGGGTTCTGCCATCCCAGTCCCGGCTCCTCGGATGGGTCGTCGGCGACCCGGTCCGCGCAAGGCCGTGGCTCCTTCTTCCTCTAAGATGGGGAAGAAGAAGATGGCAGAGAAACCCACTCACTCTCTGGTTGACAAATTCGACCTTGAGGCTCTGTATGTCACCCAAGGGTTGGACCCTGCATTTCACCTCCTCGTGCCCTCTCGCGACCAAATTTCTTCTAACCCTCCTCCGGGGTACCTCACTTGGTACCTCGACCAGTTTAAAGCTGGCTTATCCTTCCCATTACATCCTTTCTTCGTCGATGTCAGCCGTCTCTATAGGGTTCCTCTTCACCTTTTCCATCCCAACGCCATAAAGTTTATGTCTTGTTTTTATATCGTTTGTGTCGGCACCGGCGTCGACCCCCGCCCCGAGTTGTTCTTTTCTCTTTTTACTCATAACCGGTCATCTTCGGGTTACTTCCATCTTTCCACCCGTGTTGGCCGTCTTTTCGCCGGCCTGGTCACAAAGATTGACTCGTGGCAGCGGCGGTTCTTTTTTGCTCGTCCGCCGTCTCCGTGGCCTTTCGACCCTTCTCCTCCTGCCAAGTCCCCCAAACGCGTTGTTTTGGATGTTAACTTTGACGAGGAGACTGCCCGTCTGCTCGCTCGCGTTCGCCCTCGGGCTTGGAATGTCGAAAAAGTTGTCAGCACCACCCCTCTCTTTTCTCGCGCCGGCCTCTGGCGCATGCCTTCCTTTGACCGCCGACCTTGGGGTATATACCAGCTTACCCCGACCTTTCCCCCCCGTTCCTGTCTCCTTTTTTTTTTTTTTTTTTTTTTTTTTTTTTTTTTTTTTAGGCATTGTCTTCATATTAATCGTTTTCCATTGTGCCAGGCGAGATGATGCTTGACATGCTGATGGAGATGGCGGAAGCCGAGAAGAAGAACACCGAAGGTCTATCCGGGCCTCCTCCTGCGGCGACCGGCCCCGTCGTTCCCGAGACTTCTCCTCGCGGGGTTGAGTTTCCGTCGCACAGCTCCAACTCTCCTTCCCGCGCCGCACTCCCCTCGCCTAACCTACAGCTGGCCGCCCCCGATGTTGTTATCTCCCTTTTGGACAGCGAGGCTGAGACGCGCGATCCGGCGACCTCCCTAGGTGGTGGTTTGGGGCTCGAGGAGGCCCAAGGGGAATCGGCGGGGGCCAGCTCAAAACGGCCCCTACCGAGTGACTCTACCCCGCCGCCCAAGAGAGCTCGGATTGATCTGCCCTGCCTCTTCTCTGCGGATGATTCCGAGGGCTCTGTGGATTTTGCCCTCCGCCAGCTATCCAAGGTTCAGGCTGCCGGGGACTCGTCCTATCTGAATGACCTTCCTCACTCGTCTCGCCGCGCGAAGCTAGCTCTCTGCCTGGCTCAGGTATGTGCCCCTTTCCACTTTGTCATTTGTGCCTTGTTCACAGTCTTACAGCCTTCCTCACTTCTCCTTTTTTTTTTTTTTTTTTTTTTTTTTTTTTTTTTTTAGGCTAGCTCTATCGTTGCCTCGGGCTTTGGCGAGGATGACCCCTCCGTTCATGACCAGGCGGTACGTGAGCTGTCCTCGCAGGCTGCTAACGCCCGCACCGCCCTCGAGCGGGCATCCTCGCGGATATACGCTTTGATGGCTGAGAACGGCTCGCTGTCTAGGCAATGCGAGCTTGCCGAGGAGAAACTTCAGGAGGTGCAGTCGAAGCTGTGCGAGACGAGAAGCGCCTTGGAGGGGCAGATTGCTCGGGCGCATGAAGAGAGGGACTTAGCTGTCCGGCAACTGGAGATTAAGGAGCGCGACTTCCAGGAGGAGCTTTCGCGCCGCATCACCGTCGAACGAGAGAAATCCTTGGGTGAGCTTTTGGCTACCACAGAAGGTCTAGCGGTTCTTGATCGATATCGGGTCAAGCTATTCCAGAGATATCCGCATACCAAGCTTTTCTTGAAGGACGCCTGCCCCATTGGGATGTATTACGTGAAGCAGACCATTGCCGCGTGTGAAGCTGTGGCGGCAGAGCAGCAAGCGTCCGTTCGTTACGAGCCCTCGGTTGTCCTTGGGAAAATCAGCAGGACACTCCCTTTGTGGAAAGGTGACCCTCGCGAACCGATTGACTATGCTTGGTGGCAGTCTATCGTGGATGACCTCATCTCCTCGATCGGCTCGACCTCCGCTCCCCAGCCTACGGAACCACAAGTTGCCGGATCGGCCGGTGCGGAGTCTTCAGCGACCGTCGGTCCTTTGCCGGCGCCTACCTTGCCGCCTGTCTCCGAGACCAATCCTGCTCCTGCTTCTTCTGCTCCTCTAGCCACTCCGTCCTCCGTTGGGGCGGCCGTCCATCGCTCCTCATCGTCTTGATCTGAAGTTCTTGCTGTTGTTTCCTTTCCCTTATTTTTGTCTTTCTCTTTTTTTTATTATATGTTTTTTTTTTTTTTTTTTTTTGAACTACCTTGAACATCCAACTACTCTGTTTCTGTTATGTATGCTCTCTTTTTTTTTTTATTTATGTGTTATTGTTTACTCGTGTTCTTTTTATCTGGGTTCGTGCTTGTCCCACGTGTATCGTTGGGTGATTGTTCATTTTCGGCAAAAGTTTCCTAAGTATTTTCTGTGGTTTCTAGTCTCGAATCAGAGCTTGGTTTATGCTCGATGTTCCGAGCGGGGTACTTGAGGAAAATTCTTTCAAGAGATTTTCTCAATACTTACCGCTCTTTTTTTTTTTTTATTCGGCCCGGAGCTCGAGCTCCTCGGGCATTCCATCGGGGGGCTCTGGCTCGGCTTATGCTCGATGTTCCGAGCGGGGTACTTGAGGAAAATTCTTTCAAGAGATTTTCTCAATACTTACCGCTCTCTTTTTATTCGGCCCGGAGCTCGAGCTCCTCGGGCATTCTATCGGGGAGCTCTGGCTCGGCTTATGCTCGATGTTCCGAGCGGGGTACTTGAGGAAAATTCTTTCAAGAGATTTTCTCAATACTTACCGCTCTCTTTTTATTCGGCCCGGAGCTCGAGCTCCTCGGGCATTCTATCGGGGAGCTCTGGCTCGGAATATGCTCGATGTTCCGAGCGGGGTACTTGAGGAAAATTCTTTCAAGAGATTTTCTCAATGCTTACCGCTCTCTTTTTATTCGGCCCGGAGCTCGAGCTCCTCGGGCATTCTATCGGGGAGCTCTGGCTCGGCTTATGCTCGATGTTCCGAGCGGGGTACTTGAGGAAAATTCTTTCAAGAGATTTTCTCAATACTTACCGCTCTCTTTTTATTCGGCCCGGAGCTCGAGCTCCTCGGGCATTCTATCGGGGAGCTCTGGCTCGGCTTATGTTTGATGCCATTCGAAAAGGTAATTTTCATTCATTTTTCAGAAAAGACTTCATGCATGCTACTTGGGGCATTGGTTTCGCCCCTGTCAAAAAATTATAACAAAAAGTGGAAAATACGTATTCATGCAAAATATTTTTTTAGGTGTCCTATGTTCCATGGCCGGGGGAGTTTACTCCCGTTGGCTGTGGCCAACTCGTATGCTCCTCCCTTCAGTATCTTCTTGATGATGTAAGGTCCTTCCCAGTTAGGCTCCATTTTTCCGGTGGCTTTTAGGGCGTCTGCCTGTTTGAGCACCAGGTCTCCCACCTGGAAGTGCCTTTTCTTTACTTTCCTGTCGTAGGCATTTTTCATCCTTGCCTTGCTTGCTTCCATTCGGATCGCGGCCTGCTCTCTCAGCTCCTCTACGAAGTCCAGGTTGATTCTCAGTTCTTCTTCATTCCCCGCCTCGTTGAAGTTTTTTACTCGCCTTGAGGGTATTCCGATCTCCAGTGGTATCACCGCCTCCGACCCGTGTACTAGCGAGAACGGAGTCTCTCCCGTGGCCTCCTTGGGGGACGTCCGGTGCGCCCATAAGACCGAGTGCAGCTCGTCGACCCAATTGCCCTTTGCTTTGTCCAGCCGCTTCTTGATGCCCTCGATTATAACCCTGTTTGTTACCTCGACCTGCCCATTTGCTTGCGGATGTGCCACCGCCGCGTACCTCTGCCTTATACCCAGGCCCTTACACCACTTGGTCATTCGTGCCGAATTGAACTGCGTGCCGTTGTCTGAGACGAGGTCTCTCGGTAGCCCATACCTACAACATATGTTTTGCCATATAAACTTCATTACTTCTGAGTCCGTGATTCTTGCCAATGCTTCGGCCTCGACCCATTTGGAGAAGTAATCTATGGCGACTATCAGAAACTTCCTTTGCCCCGCCGCGAGTGGTAAGGGACCCACGATATCGATTCCCCACTGGGCGAACGGGCAGGGGGCGTCCACTATTGTCATCTCCTCTCCGGGCGTGTGTATGCGTGGGCCGTATCTCTGACATTTGTCACAACCTCTTACAAATTGTACCGCGTCCCTCCTCATAGTTGGCCAGAAATACCCTGCCCTCAGCAATCGCGTTGCGAGCGCTCGGCCTCCGGCATGATCCGCGCAACAGCCCTCGTGGACCTCCCTGATCGCATTGGCTCCTTCGGCCTCGCTGAGGCATCTCAGGTGGGGCCTGGTAAATCCGCGTTTATATAATATCCCTCTATCTAAACAAAAGTTTCTCGACCTCAGTTCTAACTTGCCCTGCTCCCTCCGACAGGATAACACTTCACCCTTTAAGCATCCTATGATGCTTTGTCGCCAGTCTTTGGCTAACCCCGTTGTTGCTACCTCATAACGCTCCCTTGGCTGTCCCTCGAGGATTGTTATCTTCCTTGAAGTACAGTCAGTGGACATACTTCCTATCTTTGCCAGGAAATCTGCCTTCTCGTTTTCCTCCCTCGGGATCTGTCTGAGCACCATCCTATGGAAGCCCTCGGCTAGTCTTTTTGCCCTGATGCAGTATTCCTCCATTCGTTCGTCCTTCGTCTCAAACACACCGTTGAATTGTTGGACGACTAGTTGTGAGTCAGAGAGTATTTCCAAAGAATCGGCTCCTGCATCGGAGGCCAATTGCAGGGCGTGCAGCAGGGCCTCATACTCAGCTTCGTTGTTTGACGCTCGAAAGGCCAATCGAATTGCGTACTCATACTCCTCCCCTTCCGGGTCAATTAACAACACCCCGGCTCCGCTTCCCGACTGGGTGGCGGAACCATCGATAAAGATCCTCCACTCCCCGACTTCTTTCTCCTGTGCCGTCCCTTGCAAAAAGTCTGCCAATATTTGCCCCTTGATGGCGGCCTGCGCCTCGTACCCGATGTCGAATTGTCCTAACTCTACTGCCCATTTAACCATTCGGCCGGACACGTCCATCTTTCCCAACGTTCCTTTTAGGGGAAGGTTGGTTCGCACTATTATTGTGTGTGACAGGAAATATGGTCTCAATTTTCGCGCCGTGACCACGAGAGCTAATCCTGTTCTTTCGATCTCCGAGTAATTTTTTTCAGCTCCTCTGAGCATCCGACTTACGTAGTAGACAGGACGCTGGATTCCGTTTCTTTCGCTCAACAGTACCGCACTCACGGCCTGACAGCCTGCCGCCAAGTAAACGTACAATTTCTCCCCGACCTCCGGCTTCGCGAGCAGGGGTAGTCGAGTGAGGGATTCCTTCAGCTGTTCGAACGCACGATCGGCCTCATCACCCCACTGGAAACGGTGTCCCTTGCGTAGGATTCTAAAGAACGGGTAGCTGGTGTCGGCTGCCCGCGAGATGAAGCGGCTTAACGCTGTGATTCGGCCAGCCAATGTCTGTACTTCTTTTATATTTTTTGGGGGCAGCATCTCCATTATAGCCCGTACCTTCTCCGGGTTAGCCTCCACTCCTTGCTTGGTTACCATGTAGCCTAAAAATTTTCCCGTTTCCACGCCGAACGCGCATTTGGTAGGGTTGAGTTTCATTCCGTACTTCCGTAGTGTCGTAAACGTCTCCCGCAGGTCGTCGAGATGCTCGTTGACCTCCTTGCTTTTGACCAGCATGTCATCCACGTATACCTCCATGTTTCGTCCTAACTGTGTTCGGAACATGGTGTCCACCAATCTCTGGTATGTTGCGCCCGCGTTCTTCAACCCGAACGGCATCACAACATAGCAGTATGTTCCCGTAGAGGTTACAAAGCTTACCTTGGGTTGGTCCTCCTTGTCTAGGCGAATCTGATGGTATCCTTGCGAGGCGTCCATCATGCTTAACATCGCGCACCCCGCGGTTGAGTCCACTAGCTGGTCGATCCTTGGCAGGGGGTAGTGATCTTTAGGGCATGCTTGGTTCAGGTCACGGAAATCTATGCACATCCTCCATCTTCCGTCCGTCTTTTTTACTAGCACAGCGTTTGACAGCCAGGTCGGGAATCGGACCTCTTTGATATGTCCGGCCTCGAGTAACTTTTTTACTTCCTCCTCAATGATCCTATCCTTCTCTGCTCCGAAGTGTCTTCTTTTCTGCTTTACGGGGCAGGCGCCGGGCCTTACGTTTAACTTGTGGACGGCTATGGCGGGGTCTATCCCGACCAAGTCTCTAGGAGACCAGGCGAACACGTCCTGGTGGTCTCGTAGAAACGATATCAACCTCCCAGTCGTTTCGCTATCCATTCTTGTTCCTATTTTGGTGACCCGGGTAGGGTCGCTCTCGCTTAGGTGAACTACTTGTAATTCCTCCATTGGTTGGATGTGCCCTTCTCCTTCTTCGTCCGAGTCCTCGCGGGGCCTCTTTTCCTTCACCTTATCCACACCGTCACCCTCGGGCTTCTCTGAACATCTTCCCCATCCGACGGGATTAATGCGCCGCTGCCCCTTCAGCGCTTGGTTGTAGCACCGTCTTGACGTCTCCTGATCTCCCCGAACTTCGCCTACCCGATCCAGGACCGGGAATTTCATCTTCATGTGGAAAGTGGATACGACGGCTTCGAACGAGTTCATTGAGGGTCGTCCCATTATCATATTATACGTTGACGGCGCGTCTATGATCAGGAACCTGACGGCTCGGGTGGCGCGTAGGGGCTCAGTCCCCAAGGACACGGGTAGTGTTACCTCGCCCATGGGTTGTACTACCTCTCCGGCGAAGCCAATGAGCGCCGTGTCCACCCTTCGGACTTCGAAGTTCAGTCTCATCTGCTTAAAACAGTCGTAGTAGATGATGTCTGCCGAGCTACCCGTATCTACCAATATTCTGGCCACGTCATAATTGGCTACCATGGCTGTGATGACCAACGCGTCGTTGTGCGGTTGTTGTATTCCAGTCTCGTCTTGCACTCCGAACGTGATCGGCGGGGCTATCGATACCCGGTACATCATGGCGAGTTCTCCCCTTAGCTCCTGCAACTCTCGTAGGTGCGCCCGTCGGGACCTGTTCGAGTCTCCACCGATGGGGCCCCCGAAGATCGTGTGAATGTAACTATTAGGGGGCCTCACCGCCTCTGTAGTTCCGCTCGCGTTGGTCGGAGGCCGGTTCGAGCTATCTCCCTTCTTGGCCTGCCTTATCCCACTGGGATTACCGCCAACGAATTCCGAAAGATTCTTGCCCCTGATCAGTCTCTCGATTTCATCTCTTAAGTGCTGGCATTCGTCAGTGGAATGACCATGCTCATTATGGAATCTACAATAGGGCCCGGAGTTAGCGGGCTTTCTTGGGACCTCTGCGTAAGTTCGGGGCCACTTGAGCTTAGGGTGGTTGGCAATGGCGATCAGTATTTCCGAGGGGGCCGAGGAGAGAGGCGCATAGTTTTCGAAGCGAGGGCCCACCCGCCTGTCCATGCCCGGCTCCCGTCTAGGGGTGGGCTCCTGCTTCCTTATTTCCTCGCGGGGTCTCTCTCTCCGCCTTTCTGCTGGTGGTGTGCTATCCATGGTCCTGCTCCTTCGGGCCTCCTCTGCGTTTATGTATTTCTCTGCCCTCCTGAGCAGATCGTTAAAGGAGACGGGGGCCTTCTTGGAGAGGGAGTCGAAGAATTCCCCCATGCGCAGTCCTTGTGCTAACGCGTTGATGAGTACTTCCTCGCTGGTGGCAGGGACCTCCAAAGTCGCCGTATTGAACCTTTGTACGTAGCTCCTTAGGGGCTCGTTCTCCTTCTGTCGTACCGCGAACAAGGTGAGGGTGCTTCTTTTTTGCTTTTTCGAGCTAGCGAAGTGGTTTAGGAACACTTCACTGAATTGCGCGAAACTGTGCACCGAGCAGCGCGGGAGTTGGCTGAACCATCTCTGGGCTGGGCCCGCTAACGTGGTTGCGAATACCCGGCATTTCACGCCGTCCGTTAGTCGATGGAGGGAGGCAGAGGTAATAAACCTTGACAGGTGCTCCCAGGGGTCCGTGATCCCGGTGTATTCGTATGTGACATGCTTGAAAGTAGCGGGCAATTCTCCGTGCTGCAGCCTTTCGGTGAATGGCGTTCCCGCCATCCCCTCATCCTCCTCCGGAAGGAAATCCTCGAGCTCGCCGGTCTGCTGCCTGGCCTCCTCGCTACCTGCCGTTTTTCTTTTAGCGGTCGTGTCCTCCGCTCTTCCCTGAGGCGACGGCCCCCTTGCTGCCGCCGCGATTAAAGACTTCAGATTTTCCAAGGTGAGCGTTATGGTGGAACTACCATCTCCGAGGAGCGAACTTTCAGCACCAGGGGTCGGTTCCTCCCTCGGTATGTTCGATGGAGGCTCATTTCCGACGACCTGTAATGGGGGAGGAGTTGCTTCTTCATCTAGTTGCTCCGACAAGTTTCGGATTACCTCCACAGGCGTAGTCATTGGTAGCACCTAGCGACGCTGGACGATAGAGGGCTAACTTGGCTTTACTAGTGACAGTTTCCCACAGACGCGCCAA